CTGCATGCAAATACTTGGAATAAAAGGTTCACAACCTACCCTTGCCCCAGCCAAGTCGCCCACCCGACCTACTCTTTTCCCATGGGAGAGTGAGGGTGGGGTCTACTCCAGGCAAGGGCAGAAGACCCCCAGGCGCCATCAGGGGGGGAAGGACTGGTACAAATTGCAATTAGAGCCGTGTCCATGATTAGTACCAGAAGGACAGGATCGAGAATTAACTAAAGCTATAAGCGAACGTAATGCGGTCGGGCCGCCCGGCCCGGCCGGGCGGCCCTTCGATGAGCGGGTCCGCCCCGGGATGGCTCGAAGTCACGTGACATGGGGCGAGTAACGTGATCAGAAACCGTGACCAAGGGGCATCACGTTTTTTCCACCCCACCCAGGGTTGTGAGAAGAAATGGGTCAAAAGGACCGGTAGAGGACTACCGTCGCCTGGTCATGAAGGCGGGAAGAACAGAGCGAGGGAGGAGAGGGGAAGGGAGAGGGAGGGAAGGAGGAGAGAAGGGAAGGGGAGGAGAGAGGAGAACAAAGAGCAGAGCAGAGCAGAGCAGAGCAGAGCAGAGCAGAGCAGAGCAGAGCAGAGCAGAGCAGAGCAGAGGTAAGCGAGAAAAGTGGGGAATAAGTAAAGTAGGCAGAAGAGGACAGAAACTGACAAGAGGAAGCGAAACAAAGTACCGTATACCAAAGGAACAAGACGTTGAGGAGATAGGCAGATGGAAAACTCAACTTCCTATCATCCTAGAGGAACTTGAGAGACGCAGAACCTTGCGAAATTTTCAACTCACCGTGCCTTCTTCTTGTAGGCACCAACGACCAAACAGACAAGAGGCGAAAACGTGAGAGAAGGTTGAAGTTGTGAACGTGGTTAACCGAAGGCAGAGAGGCTAGGTCACAAGCTGCTTCACGAGGAGGAGGGATGGCTTCCTGCAGCAACCGAGCATGCGGTGCCGCTCGCCGTCTCCTGGTCAAGCTCGCTCACGCCGAGGAGACGCTGGACGAGAGGATGCTGAAGATGGAGAGGAGCATGCATCGAGCGGCTGACAGCAGCATGCTCTTCTGCTCGCGGCCGATGCAGGCAGCCCTGACGAGGAGGAGCTTCCAGGTGCTGATGCTGCTGCTGAGCGTGGTGTACTCGAGGATGCTGGTGGGGTGGGTGAGGAGGCTGGGGAGGGGGGGAGGGACGTCGTACCGGGTGTTTTCCCTGTCGGTGCTGGAGGCTCGGAACGGGTCGCTGGCTCCTGTGAGGGCGCACGTGACGAGCTTCGGGATGCTGCGAGACGAGCAGGACGTGGAGAAGGCGCTGGAGGAGGGGGCGAGGGTGGTGGAGCGAGCGAGGAGGGAGGAGGACGGGGCGGTGGTGATCAGGTACGATAGGAGGGTGGAGGTGAACGGGTTCTACTTCGTGACGGCAGAGGCGGAGGAGGAGCTCGACCCGGTACGCTTCGTGGTGTACGGGGAGGAGGAGGACGGGAGGAGGACGGTGGTGGGAGCGTCGGGCTGGAACCTGGACTGGCTGCGGGCAGACGCGTCGCCGTCACCTCCGTATGTGTTTGACGGGAGGAAGGAGCACAAGACGACGAGGAGGAGGAGGGCGGTAGAGGCGATCGACCTGCGTCCTCCTCTAGCCTGGATGGTCTTGCTGGTGATCCTGAACATCTTCCGGCTATGCGCCTTTCTTGTTCCGCTGCTGCTGAGCGTGGGAGGAAGGGAGGAGGAGGCGAAGGTAGCAATGCACGCATGTACCTTGCTGATCGGCATCTGCGTCGTGGGGCTGATGTACCTGGACGGCCATTATCTCGCCCCCAAGTGCTTCAACCTTTTCTTCGTGTGGGGAATCTTCATCCTCTTCTTCTTCGATCGCGAGCAGACGTTCTGGACCGGCTTCCTGGTGCTCTGCGCCATCTGGGGCTCTGCGGGGATGCTGCTGCGGTCGTCCTTCATCTCCATGCCAGGAATGTGCGGGTGCTCGTTCGCGGTGGTTGTGCTGCTGCGGCGGAGGAACCTGGTGCTGGAGAGCTCGCTGCTGTGCAAGAAGCACATGCGGGAGCAGACGAAGAGGTGGCAGGAGATGATGAGGGAGGAGGGATGGAGGGAGGACCTGGCGAGGCTGGAGCAGCTGACCAACAGGATGGCGAGCAGCAGACGAGGGAGGAGGCGAGGCAAGGGAGAGCCGGAGGGAGCAGGAGCAGGACGAGGAGGAGGAGCCGGAGGGAGGGTGTACCAGCGAGACGACAAGGAGCGGAGCGATCAGGATCGCTTCCTGCTGTCCTCGAGCGTCCCCGCAGACGCCGTGTGCTCGCTCGCTCGCTTGTACGCGCAGGCGGAGCTGGTCAGGAGCATCCTGGCAGTCAAGGTGAGGAGGTGGAGCAAGCGGGCGGGGGCGAGCGTGGACCAGGGGAGCACGAGGAGGAGGAGCAGCTACTGGAGGAGGAGGAGGGCGCTGGAAAGCTGGTGGGGGCCGCAGGGAGCGGAGGAGGAGGAGCTGGTGGGGCTCAAGGAGGAGGGGAGGGCGATGGAGAAGGCTGTGCGGTGCTACGGGGGGGACGCGTCGCGGCTGCTTGACGTGTGCAGGGCGCGGGTGGCGGTGCAGGACCTGAGGGGAGCGATAGGGTTCCTGGAGGCGATGGAGGAGGAGGAGGAGGAGGTGGCGGTGGAGGGGATCAAGAACCGGATGGCGGGACGGGGAGGAGAGGCGAACGGGAGGAAGGACGTGATAGTGTACGTGAGGTTGGAGACGGAGGAGGCGAGGAGGATGGGGGTGAGTGGGCATGTGTGCGAGGTGCAGGTGACGCTGCAGGAGCTGCTGCTGATGGAGGGGGAGGAGGAGCGAAAGCAGTACAGGAAGTACAGGCTGCTCCGATGACGCGGGACGAGGAGGACGAGGACGAGGACGAGGACGAGGACGAGGACGAGGACGAGGACGAGGACGAGGACGAGGACGAGGACGAGGAGGAAGTTGGGGGAAGCGTTTGTAGCTAACATCATATCGTTTTGATGAAATTTCTTAATCATTTGGAATGATTGTCATGACTTATGTTTTTTTGTTTTTTCTTACTTGGGTTGCTTTTCCTTGTGAACTCCCCTCTTCTTCTTTTTTTGTATCCTTGTTTCCTCTGCTTTCCTTGCTTGTTTCTCTCCAACTGCTGCATCACACTGTAGTGACTGTGCGGAGGGGCTATCATAGTCATTACTGTTGTCACTGGGTTGCAAGAGAGATGAAGTTCAACTTCAGCCGTTCGATGTGATGTTACATTGATTGTGATCGCACACATCACGTTCTTACTCACTGACCTCTCTGAGCCTCATAATAACTTCAACGCAACTTGATGACAACTCGGATGTAAGCTCCTTCGTTGCAAGGAATTGACAGTGGCGACAGTGACAGTGGCAGTGGCAGTGACAGTGGCAGTGGCAGTGGCAGTGGCAGTGGCAGTGGCAGTGAGCGAGCTGCCGCGATGATGGGGGACGATGTTCGCCATCGCCAGATAATGAAGGCCTTCGATAGGATGGATAAAAAGATCGACAACATGATGGGGCGGGGTATGACAAATAATTTTACCAGATCTCCTGAGCATCAACAGGCAAATGAAGATACGATGACGGGGCGAGATGGCTCTGCAAGTGAGGATGAACATTCTGCACATGACATGGGAATTTCAACTTGGAAAGATGCAAACGTGTCAGGTTTCAACGTCACCAAACATTTTGGAACGTGGGAGAACGCATGGATTGCATGGCATTTTGGTGACACTGTGAAGAAACATCCTGCTTTGAAGGAATTGAGCAGAGCGCATATGGAAACCAAAGAAGAAGGAAGGAGATTTAGCGACTTGACCGTTCTTGTCGAAATTTTTGAAAGGTTCGTGAGGAGGGAAATCATGGAATCAGAGAACAGAGATGCAGAACTTGAACGGTGGAGAAGTTTTGTAGCAAGGCCAACACTGGCTGAAGCTCAACATTGGTTCAAAACATATGACAAAGGCTTTTTCAAATTGGTGAGTTCTAAGTCGAAGGCACGTACGAGGAGACAAGGACAATTGAAATGGACAACTTATGTTAGAAAAATGCGACAATGGAAGAAAAGTGATCTCAATGCATTTTTAAATCGTTGATCATCCATGTAATAAAGAAAAAGATTCATAGCACTGCAATATAATCTTGTTGAAGAAGATGAGAGTTGAAGGATGCAGCAAGACTCTCAAACGAAATTGTTCAAGTGTTTTTCACTCTGAGGCGGACTTGTGAGGTTGAAAGGTCATCGAACCCCCCTTCGCCCCCGGGGGTGGTCCAATTATGTGGTGAACAATAAAAATGACAGAAAACCTTCAGAGTTTAAAGAAAGTATATAGTGTGCCGGCCAAAGTCTTGGAAAGCTAAGTTAAAACAAAATTTAGCTGATTATTATCAATATTGAAATCCGAAGAAACAGTCAATATTATATCTGTAGGAAAATTTGTTATTTGATTATATTCAAAACTAGTTGGTATATCTGATATTGTAGCATAATTATTGGCTGTTAAATAGGCTTGTGTGTCTGTATCTGTATAAGCCGTTGGTATATCTGATATTGTAGCGTAGTTATTAGCTGTTAAATAGGCTTGTGTGTCTGTATCTGTACTTGAAGCCGTTGGTATATCTGATATTCTAGCATAATTATTGGCTGTTAAATAGGCTTGTGTGTCTGTATCTGTACTTGAAGCCGTTGGTATATCTGATATTCTAGCATAATTATTGGCTGTTAAATATGCTTGTGTGTCTGTATCTGTATAAGCCGTTGGTATATCTGATATTCTAGCATAATTATTGGCTGTTAAATAGGCTTGTGTGTCTGTATCTGTATAAGCCGTTGGTATATCTGATATTCTAGCATAATTATTGGCTGTTAAATATGCTTGAGTTTCAACGTCGCTATATCCTGAGTTAGCAATGACATTATTTATTTTCTCATTTTATTTCTGCATTTTTGTATGGGTGTGTATATCCTATTATTTGTAATGGTCCATCTCCTAAATAATCAAACTCTTTGTTTATCTCATCTTGAGTTAATGCCTTACTGTATATCTTCAAATTTTGAAGATTTCCAATGAATGGGCCAATTTTTATTTGACTGCTTGTCAATGTTAAGCTTGTTGTCGAATTCGTTATTGTCTGTTTCACTGA